CATATGCCATCATATCTGGTTGTATTTTTACTGATTTTTCATTTTGTTTGCTCTAGCAATTTTTCTTGTTCTAGCAATTTTTGAGAGAGTAGTGTTAAAATCTTCAACTGTAGTTGTGGATTTATATTTTCCTCTTTAGGTCTGCCAAATTTTATTTCATATATTTTGAAGCTTGGTTATTTGGTACACATGATTGTTATGCTTTCCTGACAAATTAACCATTTTATTTATTTAGGTCTTATTTATTTATTTTTTTGAGACAAAGTTTCCCTATGTAGTTCAGGCTGACCTGGAGTTCACTGTATAGTCCAGGCTAGCCTTGTGGTGATCCTCCTGCCTCAGCTTCCCAAGTGCTGGAATTACAGGCATGCACCACCACTCCTGGCTAAGTTAACCATTTTATAATTATGAAATGAACTTTAGCTTTGGTAACATTCTGTGTTCTGAAGTTTCCTTGATCTGACTCTAATATACCAGTTTAGATTTCTTATACTTTTTGCTTGCATGGTATATGTCATGGTTTAGATCTAGAACGTGCCTGTAAAGTCTCATGTGTTCAGAGGTGGAGCTTTTGGAAGGTTATTAGGTCATCAGGGTGCTGTACTCATGAATGGATTCATCCATTGGTCAATTCATGGCTAAATGTGCTGGTTGGAGGTGGGTCACTGGAGACATGGATTAAAAGGGTGTGTTCTTGTCCCTGGCTCCTCATTTCTCTCTCTGCTTCCTGGCTGCCATGAATTGATCAGTTTTCCTCCACTGTGCCCTTCAACCATGCCATTTCCTTTTTGGAGCCAGTAGACCATTTACTGAATCCCCCCAAACTGTGAGCCAAATAAAATCTCTCCTCCTTTAAATTGTGAGTGTCAAGTATTTTGTCACAGTGACAAGAAAGCTGACTAATATACAGAAAACTGGTGCCAGGAGTGGAATCAAAACTCTGACTGAACATGTGGTTTACAAGCCTTTGGAACTGGTTTGTGGGAGGAGTTTGGAAAGGTTTGGAGATGCAGGCTAAAGAAGCCCTAGAATGCTATAATTAGGGCTTGATGAGTGATTCTGATTGGCATTCAGAAGATCAGAATGCTGATGGGGTGCAGACAGTCAAGGCTGGGCTTAGGTTTCATTTTGTTTTTTATTCTTTTTGGGGGTGGGTACCGGGGATTGAACTCGGGTCCTTGCGCTTTTGGGGCAGGCGGCAGAACCACTGAGCTAAATCCCCGGCCCACTAGGAGGTTTCATTTTGGAAGAAGAACTTCATTGGCAGTCGGAATAGAGGCCACATGTGTTACACTTTGGCAAAAAAATTGTCTTCATTTTCCCCATGTCCTGAGACTGTGCAGAAGATTGAGATTAAGCGCAGAAAACTAATTAATCTGATGGAGAAAATTTCAAGGCAGCCCAAAGTTTAGGCTGTGGCCTGAGTGCTGCTGGCTGCTTTTAGCCAAATCTACAGTGAGAATCAGAATAAAAGCAGAGCCGAATGATTTGAAAAGTTACGGTTTCCCCAGAAAGGAAGCAGCTGCAAAGTCAGGACCCAGGGGAACATGGTTGCTGAAAAGATTAGCATTAAAAAAGAAGCCAAGTGCTGGGCATAGTGAGGTCTTTCAGAGCTGGTGGATCAGCTCTGCCAACCCCTGCATGACTTTCTGTCTGCATCATGCAGCGGCCATGGGAAGGAGAACTGGAGAGAAAGGCATTTGCTGTTGCTATGGTGTGGATAAAAGTACCCCAAAAGCCTGGGTATTAAGGGCTTAGCTCCCAGTCTGTGGGACTATTGGAAGGTGATGGAACCTTTCAAATGAAGGGCATAAGTGGGTATGATGGTTCACACTGTGGTCCCAGCACTCTGGGAGGCTGAGGCAGGAGGTTCACAAGCATAAGCTCAAGCCAGCCTGGGCAACTTAGGGGTTGACTAAGATGGCATGCACCTCTCTTCTGTTTGCATCCCATTGGCCTAAATCTCAGCTATGGCTGTGCCCTACTGTAAGGGAGACTGGAAAATAAGGCCTTGAGCTGGCAGCCATGTTCAACATCAGGTGACCAAAGGGAGCAGGGGATGATGGGATATGGAAGAAAGTTGTCTCAAAGACGTTGGCAGTGGGCAGGTCATGGGGAGCTCGTAGATTTGGCTAAGGAGTGTGGGTCTGTTGTGGTTTAGATTGAGAATGTCTCCCCAAAGTCTCTTGTGTTCAGAGGTGAGGCTTTTGGAAGGTGATTTGATTGTGGTGGTGCTATACCCACCAGTCGATAGACCCACCCATGAGTTCATGGTTAAATATGCTGTTAGGAAATAGTCTGGTTAGGGTTGGAAGAGGTCGGTTACTGAGTGGGCCTTTGAGGGTGTCCTCCACCCCCACTTTCTCAAGGGGCTGGGGACTTAGGGAGTCCAGATCCTGGGCCGAGTTTTGGCTGAGGGCTGAGCACCTTCCTGTGCCCAGGTTTTGTGTCCAAGAATGGCATGTGGGTGACAGTGTCCTTGTCCATCATGACCCTGGCCACGCTCTGAGATGTTTGCAGGGCCACACCGGGATTCCTGGGCCACAAGACACCATGAGGTAATGTAGCTTGCGCTTAGCCTGACTTAAGCTTCTGAGTTTGTGACAATATTGGTATGCAACGACAGATAACCCCTACCATACCACTCTCTGTGTACTTCAAAAGAAAAGTATAAGCGAAGTTAATTAGTTAATTTTTTAGCTTTCTTTTCATTTACAGGCTAACTTTTCTGATTCTGCCTTCCTGCCTACCTGCCTTCCTTCCTCCCTCCCTCCCTTCTTTCCTCCTTCTCCCCTTCCCTTTCTGGGCTCCGGCTCCCATCACCCACTTGATGCCCAGGGGAATCAGACTCCACTCTGGGGCTGGGGCACAGCTCGGTGGGGAGCCCTTGCCCAGCAGGGCAAAGTCCTGGGCTCCATCCCCAGTGCCACAAAAATCCAACCAACCAAAGGAAACAAAGAAACTACAGTTTCTAAACTGTGATGTTCAGGTAGGTCAAGGTAATAAATGTGTTTTTGACTTAGCATGTTTTCAGTGCTTCATGGGTTTATCAAGATGTAAACCTATGTGAGTTGAGGCTGAGGCAGGAGAATCGCAAGTTTGAGCCCAGCCTGGGTCATTTAGCAACTTAACAAGATCCTGACTCAAAATAAAATGTAAGAGAGCCGAGAGTGTAACTCAGTACAAAGGTCCAGGGTTCGTTCACTCCCAGTGCTATACACACCTCAAAACATATAGAGAACTCAGGAATAGGGAAGTACTTAGCTATAAAAATCTGTAACAACTGGCTGCTCAGACAGAAGTCCTCAACCTTGGAAGTATTTTCTTCTTTTTTTGGTACCAGGAATCGAACTTGGGTCCTTGCGCTTGCGCAGCAGGCAGCAAAACTGCTGAGCTAAAGCCCTGGCCCCTTGGAAGTATTTTCAAAATAAAAATTTATAGGAATTTATCCAAGATAACTCCGTTTTTGTTCTTTATTTTTGTTTTTGTTCTTTGAAAGCACAGTTGTTTGAGAAGCTGTCTGAACCTTTTACAATTAGAGTGAAAATTTGAGAACTTATGATTTGGGCTTACAGCATACAATACAACATACAGCAAAAAGAACATTTCTCCTTTTTAAAACTACATTTCTTTTTTTTGTTTTTTTTTGTTTTTTTTTCTACATTTCTTTTTGAAGGTTAAGAATGAGGGGCTGGGCCAGCTATGTAGTGCTTGGCAAGTGCGAGGTCCTGAGTTTGATCTCTGGCACCAAAAAAAAAAAGAATGAGGGGCTGAAGCATGGCATGTGGGTGCATACCTATGACCCCAGCACACAGGAGGCTGAGGCAGGAGGATCACCAAGAGTTCAAGGCCAGCCTGGACTACATCATTAGACTCTGTCTCAAAAAAAACCCATCACCCCCCCAAAAAAAACAAAAAATACCCCCCAAAAACCCCCAAACCAAAAAAGAAACAACACCACCAACAAAAAAAGAATGAGGGGCTGGGGGTGTCGCTCAGTGGTAGAGTGCTTGCCTAGTACACTTGAGGTTCTAGGTTTAATACTCAGCATAAAAAAACATGGCAAAAAGAAAGAAAAATGAGGGCTAGGGATTTAGCTCAGTGGTTTCGACGCCTGCTGCGCAAGCACAAGGACCCGAGTTCAATCCCTGGTACCAAAAAAAAAAAAAAAAGAAAAGAAAAATGATTGTATATTGGCATGTTATTGCTGGTGTAAAAATGACCAGGAACTTAGTTTACAGGATGATTCAATATATTCTTCCCATTTCAAGAGCCTTAATCATATCTGCAAAGTTATTTGAGGTATGATAAGAAAATACAGTAGATGTTTACATTTTAAAAATTTATTATAGTAGAAAACACATTGCCAGGGCCGAGGATTTAGCTCAGTGGTTTCACTGCCTGCTGTGCAAGTGCAAGGACCCAAGTTTGATCCCCAGTACCAAAAAAAAAGAAAGAAAACACACTGTTGTGAGTCCCCCTCAAAATTCTCCTCCTCCTCACTTTGAACATGCTTGTCCCATCATTCTTGCCACTTCCTGAAGCAGCTCTGGAAGTCCTCTTTCGTGAGGGTCTTTCATTGCCCTGTCCTGGCTCCCTTGATGGCCTGAATCCTGAATTTACCTTTCACGGTCATTTTGACTTTGGAGAACAGCAGAAGCCACATGGTGCCAGATCTGGGAAATAAGGTGGACAAGGAGACCCTGTCATGTTTTTAGGAGTCAACTTTCCATTCATTGGATGGTGCTTGGCAGCAGCATTCACTGCATTTTTTTTGTCACACCAAAGAGGACTTGCAGAGCCACTTCAGAAAGTGGCAAGAACATTGAGATAAGTGTGTTTGAGGCAAGAAGGAGTATTTTGAGCTGGACTAGTGGCAATGTACCTCTTACTGTGATAAATTTTAAACATTCACTGTATATTTTGATCACGCCTCATAGACACAAGGTAATGTTTAATCACAGTTTTTTTGTTGTTTTTTTTGTACCAGGGATTGAACTCAGGACCTTGTGCTTGCGAGGCAGGCGCTGGAACCACTGAGCTAAATCCCCAGCCCAGACACAAGGTAATGTATTCACGGTCCTGGAGCTCAGAGTGCTGACATCTTCAGGGCTATCATTCAGCCTACTGCACCTCTTCCTACGGGCCAGGAATTTAGATCATACTCCTGGAAATGTCACGGCTCATTATACAGTTGTCCATTCTTTCAATGGAGATGTACATTCTTTAAGCAGCTTCAAGGCATTAATAGGATAACATTCTTTGTGTTAAACAGTGGGGGAAATGTCACCTACATGCCAGGCCCTTCCCTTCCCCTCCGTAGTTCTCCAAGCCAGTGGATTTTCCATTCAAGAGTCTCTTTAAATTAAGAAAACTTCAAAAAAAAATTTAAGAAAACTTCAAAGTAGGTGATTTCTTCCTTTTGTTTTTGTTTATCGAGACAGAGCCTTCCTATGTAGTTCAGGTTGGCCTTGAACTCATAGTGATCCTCCTGCCTCAGCCTCCTCATTCCTGGCTTATTTGTCTTTTTAAATTTACTTATTTATCTTTGTGATACCACGGATGGACTCAGCCTTAATGCATGCTAGATAAGTGCTCTACCATTGAACTACATCCCCCAGACCTTTTAAAATTTTTTTGATTTTTATTTTTTTGGTACCAGGGATCAAACTCGGGATCTGGCACCTTCGAGGCAGGCGGCAGAACCACTGAGCTAAGTCCCCAGCCCCCAAATTTTTTTGATTTTGATACAGGGTCTCACTAAGTTGCCCAGGTTGGGTTTTTTTTGGTACCGGGGATCGAACTCGGGTCCTTGCGCTTTCGAGGCAGGCAGAGGAACCACTGAGCTAAATCCCTGGCCCAAGGCTGGGTTTGAACTTATGATCCTCCTGCCTCAGCCTCCCTGGCAATATCCAGTACCTGGGGTAACATTTGTGCATCACCATGCTGAACTGTCTTTGTATTACAGCCATCATAGAAGAGGTGAAGTGGTATCTCATTGTGGTTTTGATTTAATTTCCCTAGAGACTAATAATGTTGAATATATGTTTATTTGTTCTTGGCCATTTATTTATTTATTTATTGAGAAATGCCTATTCAAATCTTTTGCCCATTTAAAAATTGGGTTTTCTGTCTTATTATTGAGTTGTATTCTTAAAATATTCTTGATACCAAGCTATGATCAGATATATGATTTGCAAATTCCTTATTCTGTGGGTTTTCTGTTCATGTTAGTTTAGTTTTTTGGGTTTGTTTGTTTATTTATTTATTATTTTGGTTTTTTGAGGCAGGGTCTCCCTTTGTAGTTCAGACTGGCCCTGAACTCACTTTGTAGCCCAGGCTGGCCTCAAACTTTCAGCGATCCTCCTGCCTCAGGCTCCAGAGTGCTGAGATCACAGGCGTGTGCTGCCATGCCTGACCTTCATTTTTTCCCTCCTATTCCTCCTTTTCTTCTTGTGGGATGCTGGTGATCAAACCCAGGGCCTTGCACCTGTGAGCAAGCCCTGCCACTGGGCCACACCCTAGCCTCAGGGTACTGTCTACACAGCAGCCTCTGGAGCGGTCCTGCTGGCACCTCGTGGAGAGAGGTCAGGCTCACACTCAGGCTTCACCAGAGCAAGGGACAACAGAAGCTTCGGAGCGGGCAAATCCGAGTTCACAGCCCTGCTTCCAGTACTTCCCAGCTGTGTGACCTTGGGCAAGTACATGGGCCTCTCTGAACCCCAGTCACTGTGAAATGGGCATAAGAATTCTCTCCAAGTTTGTCGGGAAGATTCCGTGAGACTCTGCATCGGCGTTGCTCAGTCTGGGACACACCACCCGGTGAGATCATGGTAGCCAGCAGCCACGCACGACTCAGCAGGCATCCTCTGGCTGAGTGTCCACTGCCTCTCCCTGGCACAGCCAGTGCCACCCATATTCCGCCCTGGTGTGGACCAGGAGCCTTTTTGGTCCTCCAGGACCTCTCTGCGCTGAAGTTCTCTCAGTGCTTAGTGTCAGGGAGGTCTGGGTTTAAATAACTCACCTGTTGACCCTGGGCTGGAGCCCTAACATCTCTGTCTCAGGACTTCTGCTCTGAGGAAAGGGTTTCTGATCTGTCCTTACGGGTTTGTGGTGAGGATGGAGAGAGTAGCGGGCAGAGCGCACGCCTGGCACGGAACAGATGAGCGTGATGTGGGCTGGGAGGGGAGATATCTGGCTCTGTCCTCCCTGCCGGCCTGGCCAGAGCAGGAATGAATGGAGGGCGGGGTCTCCCAGCGACCGGTACTGCTGTTCCTCGACTTCCCGCCAGTGGGCGCTCTGATGAGGTTAGGGTTACAGCTCTGGCTTCGCGCTGTGCCCCAGCACCCGGCGTTAACGCAGATGGGACTGAGTGGGCTGAGTGCTTTGATTCATTTCAACGAGACAGGATTCTCAGTGCCTGCTAAATATAAGACATCGGCCAGGTGTGGCGGCGCACGCCTGTAATCCCAGCATTCTAGAAGGCTGAGGCAGGAGGATCGCGAGTCGAACTAAGCCTGAGCAGTTTAGCAATTTACCAAGACCCTGTCTCAAGATAAAGGAATAAAATAAAATAAAATAAAATAAAATAATAAAAAAGGGCTGGGGCTGTAGCTCAGTGAGAAGACCCCGGGTACAATCTCAAGTACAACAAACAAGAAATATAGCAGAGTCACGGGCCTTTATTTGTTTATTGTGTTTGTAGGAGAATAGCGCCAACGACCCTCTCCTGATTTAGTGCGAGAAAACCCGCAAGCATCTATTCCGTGCAATAACAGAGAGGATAGCCGTCACCATGGCAACGGACAGCTCGGGAAGACAACCGCCCAGGCTCTCGGACTTCTCCGGGCGCCGATTTTCCTCAGGATATGGCAACGATTTCCAGGAGGCTCGCACACGACTTGTTTCAATTATTCTTCCAAGAACCGCCTTTCATGAACAGACCTGGCTGGGGATAGGAACTCAGGGCTCCAGTAAAGTAGAATTAAAAAAAAAAAAATCAGTTCTCCTGAAAGCAGTCTAACAGCTCTCCCTTTCCCGTAACTGCTGGCCTCCCCCGGTACTGAGAAGGTAGACGGTCTCATTCCTGTAAGCGAAGTTTTGTGACCCCTGAGGAGCCATATGCTCTGTAAACAACTATGTTCTGTAAACAAGTTTGTGACACTCTGTTCCCATGTGATTCATGAGACACTGCCTGTTTACGAGGCTAAATTACTAAGCTGTCTGCCCTTGCCCTGTTCCGCTAGACTCACTTACTGTCACTAGGAAGACCAGCCCCCTTCGACTAAATGTATAAAAACTAGCACTTTTCTTTGTTCAATCGCTCAGTCTTTTGGAGAGGAGTCCAACTGAGCCGAGCTGCACCGATAAATACTCCTGACTTCCGTCTGGTCTTTCTGGTCCTTTCGGAATTCTCCAACGCCAGAGTCACTGCAAAGGACATGGACATTCTTAGGAATACTCTCAGCTTGTTAATTTATCCGAGGAAATTCTTTTGCCTTTATTTATTGATTTTAAATTTTTATTTTATTTTAAGACAGAGCCTCACTATGTAGCCCAGGCTGGGCTCAAACTTGCGATCTTCCTGCCTCAGCCTCCGAGTGCTGGAATTAAAGGCGCTCCTTACCATCCAGTTCAATGGTTGGTTTTATTATGCTGAAAAGTATCTCCTCAGGCAGCTGCAGGTTATAAAGAACATCGTTACCTCTTTTTTGCATTTTAAAATGTATTGTTAATTTTCTTCGATTTTTAAAAAATAGAGTATCTTTCATTACTTTTCACACTCTGCTAATGGTTGGGCACGCCCCCCAGGAACCCAGGGCCTCGCGCATGCGCACTCACTCTACCAAAGCTCCACCCCCCCCCACCCCTCCCCAACAACAGTTTCTGGAGCAGCTGCTTACTTTGCCTCACGCGTTGTTCTTGTCCAGTAGCTCCACCCGGCTCTATTGACATTTGGGACATGAACTAGTGTCCTGTGGCATCCGTGACAAATGACCAAAAACTGGTGTGAACCAACACACATGTATTCTCTTTTCCAGGGCACAGAAGCCACCCCCTCCTCCCCTTTCCCCGGCTCAAGACCCCTCCTCTACCTCCAGTGCCAGCGGCCTGAGGACAGGTCTCCTATGTTGCAGCTCTCTGCTCCTCTGCCTAGTTCCTCTTCCATTTTGGAGGGGTTTCTGGAGCTACAGCCCTGGTCATTTCTATTTTTTATTTTTTTGTGACAAGGTCTCACTAAGTTGTCCAGGCTGGCCCAGAATTATCAATCCTCCTGCCTCAGCCTCCCTTAGTGCTGATAACAGGCATGTGCAAGCCATGCCCAGCTGCTTCTTCCACTTTTAAAGACACTCGGTATTCTACTGGTTCATCTGGGGTAGGGTCTGTTGCTTTGGCAGCCTTGAGTGCATCTGCAACCTTAATTGTGCCATGTAATGCATCATATTCAGAGGTTCTGGGGGTTGGACGTGAACAGCCTGGAACTCATTGCTGTGTCTACCACAGGGTGGGGCCGTTCTTTGTGTGTGTGGTTATGGATTTGGAAAGAAATTCAGGCCCACCATAGTGGTGCAGGCCTGTGATCCCAGCACCCTGGGAGGCTGAGTCAGGAAATTGGCAAGTCCCCAGCCGGATGCTCCCTACTCCGGTGCTGTCCGGAGGGATTTCCATGTGCCCTGGTTAAGGGGAGATTTGTGTCTCTGGACTCTTTTTTTCCCTTCCACCAAGTTAGCTGGAGGTGGCAGCTTCAATTATGAGGCTGACCAAAGTGCACCAGGGCAGAGGCATTGAGTCTGAACCAGAATTCCCCAGAGAGCAGTTTCAGGGTCCTCCCTCACCCCAGAGCGGCTGGCTTTGTAGATCTGGCCTGGAGAGGTTTCTTTTCCCTCTCCTTTCCTCTCCTTCCCCTTCCACTTCTGTTTCCACTTTCCTTTTTTTTGGTACCGGGGATCGAACTCTGGTCCTTGCGCTTTCGAGGCAGGCAGCGGAACCACTGAGCTAAATCCCTGACCCCTCTTCTGTTTCCTTTCTCGCTTTTTTTTGTGGTACTGGGAATTAAACCAACCCAGGGGCTTCACATTGAACTACATCTCCAGCTCCTGGCCCCTTTTTAAAAATTTTTGAGACAGGGACTCACTGAGTAGCTAAATTGCCCAGCCTGGGCTCAAACTCAAAGTCCTCCTGCCTCAGCTTCTAGAGTGCTGGGATTACGAGTGTGTGCTGCCATGACCAGGTTTCACTTTTTTTCTTTTTTCTTTTTTTGGTACGGAGATTGAACTCAGGACCTTGTGCTTGCTAGGCAGGCGTTGGAACCACTGAGCTAAATCCCCGGCCCCAAGATTTCACTTTTATAAAAGGCAGATTCAGCCTTGGATCTTTAAGTGCCATTGGGAAGGTGACATTCTCTTCCCAAACGCCATCCTTTGGCTTCAAGGCCCAGAGGTTGTACCAGGTGTTCAGCAATCAGCTGTCCTGTGAGAACTTCCAGCGGTGTTGAGATGCCACACCCCTGTTTGAGGTCTTTCCTGGAGTGGAGGAGCAGAGTCTCTGGAGCCAGGCAGACAGGAGCTCACACCCTGGAGCCAGCGACTGGCCTTCTCTGAGCCTCAGTGTCCCCTTCTGTAAAGTGGACACAGTACATTTTCTTTTTTTTCCCCTTAAATTCTTTTATTGGTACATTTTATCTATACAATACATTTACATTTTTCATTGGGAGCTTGTACCTGTACATGATGTATCTTGGTTCTTACTGTTTCCCCTTGCCCTGCCCTCCCTTCACCCCCTCCACCCTTCCCTATTAACAAAGACTTTGTTTCCATTTTTTCCTTTTCTCGTAATTTTTCCACAGTACATTTTCTTCCCAAGCTTGTTCAGGACTCTGTGGGCCAGGAATTTGGAATGCATCTGGCTCTGCCCCATGTAGGATTAGTTGAGGCAGTGGGGGCCGGAGGATCCATTTCCAAGATGGTTTCTTCCCTTGCACGTCTGGAAGCTTCAATTCTCCATGGTCCTTTCACAGCATTGTGCTCTTTTTTTTTTTTTTTTTTGAATTAAAAAAATATTTATTGATAATATCTCTTTTAAAAATGTTTGATATCCCCAACTAATCATCCAAAATGCAAACTGTAAACATAACAGCCAAAGAGTAACAACTATTTGAGTAGCAGATTGTGACCGGGGGACACACCAAGCAAGAGTGCAGAGGGAGCCATGAAGAGAGGAAGACAGGTGTGTGGTGTGATACAGACAGTGACAATTTGAGTAACCACATCCGCTCCGCAGTGATTTCAATGTAGTACTTAAGAATCCCCTGGGCCAAATACTAAAACACACGAGGAATGGACAAGCCTTCTTTGTGAGCATGCTCAGCATGTTGGCATGGAAACAGGAAGCACAGAAGCTATGTAGTCATTTCGTAACGATGGCTACCACTTCTAGGATGCAAAGAAATTTCTTTCTGGTCCCTGGATACATCATGTATTGTTTTTCCATGCTTTCCTTGACCCTGGATGACTGCAGTTACTGTTCCAAAATCCCCAGAGAAACCCCTTAACAAAATAAAGAAACCATCACAGCAGTAACACTGGGTCTGCTGAGGGCCCCCCTTCTCTGCTGGCCTATGATGCTCTTCTGGGCACATCCAGCAGGAATGGTTAAGTTTCACCAATCCACTTGATAAAGCCAGCACGAACTTCAGTCCCATGGCCAAAGCCAGAGTGGATGAGGTCAGGTGTGGACACATACGTATGTGTGGCTCAGGGGACCTGGACACTGCCTCACTCTGTAACCCCACCCAGAACCTTGGGGTCACTTCTGCTGGAGACACCAGGTGACTCTAGAGTGTTCTCAAATACTCAGTTCACCGCAGCTGACCCCTCCAGTGTTATAGGATAATGCAGCATCTGCAGAAGTGCTGTCGGCTGGCCCCGACTGATGGGGGTGGAGTGACAGGTGCGAAGTGGGCGTGGACTTTAATGTTGGGTAAGTGGTTCCTGAGTCTCTTGATCCCCGCGAGCGTGATCTGCTGGCAGTCATAGAGCTCGATCTGCTCCAGGCTGTGGCAGCTCTTCAGGTGCTCCAGGGACGCGTCTGTGATGAGTGGGCAGTTGTCCAGCTCGATCACCTCCAGCTGGTCATATGCACAGGCCCCATTCCCCAGGTGGCAGATGCCATCATCTGTGATAAGCTCACAGTGGGACAGACTCAACACTTGAAATCGAGGACAGTATATAGAAAGTTGAATTAATGTGCTATCAGTTATCTGAACACGTTCTTCCAGGTCTATCTTTTCAAGCTCATGGAAATTCCTGGCCAAAGTGGTAAAACGCACATCTGTTAGTTGAGAAAATCTTGCAACTTCGAATATTCTAAGCCGAGGGCAGTTCTGACCTAGCACATTCAGGATGGCGTCTGTGATGTTGGAGCAGCCAGAGGCACGGAGGGACTGCAACTTATGGCACCCTCTGCAGATAGTAATGAGACCTTCATCTGTGATTTGCTGTGTGCAGCCTTTTTAAGAATAAGGCCTTCAGTCCCCTGCAGCCTCTCACTAGTGCTTGAATGCCATCCTTGGTTACTTGGTCACACCAGGAAATGTTCAGCTGCTCCAGCAGTGGACACCCCTCGCTCACCCCTTGCTTTGAGAGACATGTTTGTTATCGATGTACAGGAAGCCAAGTCAAGGTGCCTGAGTTTGGAACAGAACTTGCTAAGGCTAGTACATGTACTTAATGCATTGTCTCCTACTCCAAGACACCCACGAAGACTTAACTTTCGTAAAAACCCTCTACATCGCTTTGAAATGTTCTCCACTACCCGGCCCTCAATATCCCTCTGGAAATCAAATAGATCAATTCGGTGCCAGTTGCTGCCATCCAGAGCAAGAACATTCCAGGCCCTGGAAACCTGTGCACAGCGACACAAGTTAACGACATCAAGAAAAGAAAATATCTGTAAGAGGAGTTCTTTGGGAAGTTTTTTATTTATTACAGTTTCATCGCTATTTGAGAACATCTCAAACCTGCTCTTGATCACTCCGTTCACGTCCCTCCTCATGGGGCCGGCGGGTGCGGTCCGGACAGGGCGCTGAGGCGTGAGGAATGCAAAGCGGAGCGGCCCAGGGCAGGCCTGCGAGTTCCGGGACCGGGAGGCGGCGGCCGAGGCCGCGG